GCCCATTTCATGACAAAGAGTTACTTGCGATGAAGTATGTACTTGTCATTTCAAAGACTTGTCATGGTTCACCTGCTCCCCTCCTCCAAGCCGTTTGTGATCTACACTGATCATGCGTCTTTTCGCACTGCGACTCAGTCGCCCCTCCTCTCTCAGAGGATGGCTAGATGGCTCGACATGGGGTCCGCAAGGCGCGAGCAGGGCTCGTATCATGCTGCTGGTGCAACTCGCCTTCCTCGTCATCCCATGCGGGAAAAGGGTTTCAGACTCGTAGTCGATCAATCCCACATCCTCAAAAAGGTGTTGTCACTGACAGCGTGCGCGACGCTTGTGCTCATTGAGCCTAGGATATACAACCCTCGGTGCTGCGGTCGGCCTGTCCGACCTTGCACTAAGTGCGGAAGACGAAGTTGGGCTCAGCCCGTGCTCGCTGTCAGAACCCGCAAGACTTGGTGATTTTGTGTCGTGGATACAAGGCTCATTAAGCAAGGAAGTTGTAAAATTCCAACAAATTGAGTTGCAGTGTTTAACAGACACGCGAGCCTCGTCGAGGCAATAATCAACTTGAACTGTAAATGTTCTCAGTCTTAATTGGGAGGGTGTAATGGAGGTTACACTAACCCTGATAAAAGGTGTGTGTGTCACACGAGATGTGCATGGTGTGATCACACCCAAACAAGAATACGGTACGGGGCTCGATAACCAGAAGTCATACTTGTATTTAGATTTCACTATATATATTTAGTATATTAAGGAAAATTTAAACCTACAAAATTAGGATAAAAAATAAATTGAAATAATTTTTGACTTGAAACCGAAAAGTCAATTAGCCTTGGGGAGGCAATAATTCCTCTTGGAGTAAGCGGATTGCGATCCGCTAACTCATAATTGATTCTTGTAAAGAACAAAAGGTCGGTGATCTTAAGTACGCTTCCTCAAGCGCTTAGCTACGGCAGCTCCGCTGCATCGACTGTATTGTCAGTTGTTCATTGATTCAAATAAACAAGGGTACATTCAATAGGATGAAAGGTGGCACAGTGTAGCGAGATAAAGTCCTTATATATTCAGTTCGATTTTCATTATCAAACTAACAGGTGAACAGCTTCTACGAGATCACTACCCAAATGGCCCGCCTCAATGCGACAATGACGTCCAGGCTCATTGAGGTTTTCCAAGACAAAAAACATTCTAACTAGCTGTTTGAGCATACACATGATTTGGCGCGCAAGAGGTTATTGGTACATGTTCAAGTCGTTAAGAGGGGAGAGGATATGATCTATCAAGGCGTCGAGCGGAAACATCAGACCAAGATACGGTCTGCGACGACGGCTATGAACGCTTGAACGACTCTGCGGTAATTCTTCAACCAGACAACGCTTCACAATCGTGTCGAGATAAAAGCTCCATGATATTAAGATTGAGAATTTTACGGCAATGCCCAAGCATCTAACTGCCTTTGATGAGCCCGTCGTCGGTGTCCAGGCAGCTGGAGAGTCGGTTGACAATTCCTGGTAGCTAGTGGTACTGCTGAGCGGCTTTCAGACGGGGTACGACTAATTGTATTTTTTACGGACAATGCAAAGGAAATTACACTATCCAAGGTCAAAGACAAGATGTTATAGGGGCGTGGATGGTTGCAAAAGAAGAATACGACAGAGGAAGCGCTTCATATTCACGGTAATGGTGGGCAGTTCAGGGGCTAGAGTAGTAACGGACGAAAGAGGAACGGCTCAAAATAAAACCGAGGTGGTGTGAAGCACAAGCCTTTCGAAAGCAATCGAGTTTGTAACATGAAGCGAGACTGCCCGGGTAGAAGCGATGATGCTGAGGATGATGCGATATTAGCTATCGGAGATATTTAGTTCGACGGATGACTAACAGATTTTGGCGCGACATCGCACATGACTCCGTGCGAAAAAGACATTTTCAACATGATGACTCGGCCTCTAACATTGATGTCCTTTTGCAGACGACAAGAAATAAGTGAATCTGAATGAGAACGGTTCATTTGATTAGGATAAATGACCAGCGCATCAAGATGGTTAGCGTAGTATACACTTATACGATCGCCACCGATTGGAGAGCTTGCAGAGCACGGCTTACGCACCGAGATTCAGCATTTCATACGTGCCATCTGATACATAAGCAGTGTTGCGGCTCCGGTCAATAAGGTCGAAAATGGCTTTATTCTTTTCTGCGAGCAAGAAGAAGTACTGTTCGTTGCGTATACCAGGGTCGATACCCAGTGTGAGATCTGGCACGATGGTTTGGGACTTTAAGCAACAATGATATGGCTAAAACGCAGCGTACCACAATTGTACGTTAACTGTGAGTAGTGACATCATGTAGAGAATGTATGAAAGTAAACAGGTCATGATACAATTTTCAACAAGATCGACGCCCAAGACATCGCGCGTACTGGCGTTAGCTCACACTGATATAGTTACAACAATGTGATCGCTTTAAAAAGAAGGTGAGCGATATATTATGACACTTGTAGGTGATTCACACGATACGTGGTTGCGTACCACATGAAGAACAAGAGCAAAATAACCACTTAGCTTACCTTGTTCAAGGCATTCAAGGCACATTACGATATCCAATAGGGAGAACAAACTAAGCGTATTAGCTCTGATAATGATTCGGATTTCATGAGCAAAAAGGTCAACGTTTGGTGATAATGGCACGGCATCAAGCTTCAGCGTACGGTACCATTCTGTCATCAGCAGAACAGAGTAGCGGATGGAATAGACTCGGAGCATGCTGCATGACGAGGGCGTGTCAATGATATGGTGAGCAGTAGCTGTGAGCATCGCAATTTATCTGATTAATTTGCCTGTAACTACCGAGTGGTCGAGCATGACGCCATATGATGTAGGCATTAAGACGAAGCAGCAAATGGAACAATTGCGTGTGCTTGAGTCGCATGAGTTCGCTTTCGTAGACAATGCAAAAAGGACGAAGTATGACCCCGAGAGCTTTAAGTGTGTATCGTCGTGTACGAATATAAAGAGGTACCATGTCTACGACGTAATAGCGTCTAAGGTGGAAAGTAGCACATTTGATCAAGCTTGGCAGGCGTGAAGCGAGCCGTATATTCAATAAAACGTATTCTGGGCACGAAACGATTATTTACAGAACAAAAAGAATGCGACAGCAGCCCGATCCCGGATGCTCAATGTGCGATGCATAGAGAACGTCGAAGAACCCGTTCTAGAGCATATGATGGATGAGATTGAGTCGGAAGTGGATCCTAGTGTGCAACAGCCTCTGGCACTAGAAGATGGGGTACTAATTGGAACGGAAGTGGCTAGAAATCGTGCCCTCCAACCGCTTCAGAAGGGTCATTCGGTATTCTGTCCAGGAGCAGAGCGATCAAGGTGTCTTTACAAGAAGACGGCTTGTATCCGGATTTTAAACAAGAGTTGGAGAGGACCATGATCCAACTAACCCGTAGAGTCCAAAGATTGATTACTTGCTGAAGCAGTATTGGCGTATGCGGCAAAGATTAACGGCGCTCCAAACACTTCAAACACGTACACTTGAGTAATCACGAGTAATGAAGCAGTTGCTTGAAAGGAGGCAATCAAGGCAGACCTTCTATCACACAAATAAGTTGGTACTTGGTCGCTTGTGCCTTGTGGAATAGCTCATCCCAATTAGACTCGGTTGATCTTCGCCTATCAGCGCAACCAAAGCAGTAGACTTTGACGCTACAATCCACCAACAGGAGAGACGTACTTCTCTATGGCGAATATGAACGCATTTCGTGTTGTATTGGCAGTCTAGCGTCTGCGCCCGGAGAAAGTTACTAATTGGAACAATTGGATGCAGACATAGTATTTCTAAACAGCAAAGTAAAAAAGGCCGTGAGTACATAGAGTAACGGTATTAAAGACGCCGGGGATCATATTTGTTAACTAAATAAGGCAATCTACGTGTTAAAGCAAGCAACATGCGCTGTAACAAGCTTTTACACGGTGTCTTCGTGAGAAACAGTTTTAAGGTCTGGGGGCAGATCAGTGCCTGTATGTAAAACGGTCCAAAATCGTCTTCATATAAATCTGCCTGCACGTGGACGATATGATAATTGCAGTCAAGGCCTATGCTGAGATTCTTGAAACAAAAGATACTAGCAGGAACGCTCTCAAGATTAAAGATTTGGGTGACGCAAAATTTATTTTGGGGATGGGAATGGACCGCGACAATAGTGCTGGAACGCTGATGACCAAGCAGGTACGGTACATTGACGATGAGACGAAGCGATTTAATCAGAGGAACGTCATGGTATTCGACAATCCTTGCATTCATTACATAAGCTGTCAAAAGATTAAGACTTGTAACTGATGTCAAAACCATCAAGGTGTAGTCAAGTTCGTACCGACCTCAATCAAATTTCTTATATACGTTACGACGAGTGCAATGCTGGACATTGCCTCTGTGGTGACGCAGCTGTCCAGATTTCTGGAGAACTCGGGAGTATAGCCCAGGCGAGCAGATATCCGCGTGCTTTGGTATCTAAAGATACCATGCTCGAATGGAATAGAGTACGAAAAAGATATTTCCAAGGCGCTGTGATCCGAATCGGAATGGGGCAGTGGTGTTCAAGTCGAAGTTTCAGATAACTGTAGCGCTGAGTTGAACATAAGTAAAGTACAAAGCGCTAAACTTATTCACCTTAGAGGTACTGTGGACGCGCGCGACGTTAAAGGACGTAGGCAAGGGTCATAAACTTGCTACTCAAATCTGAGAAAAAAAATAAAGGGCGATAGCACTGGCACAAAACGCTGGCTATAATGCCAGAATCAAGCATGTGACTTTACTACAGAGAACGCTGGGATTGGGGCCAATTACGTCGAAACAAAGAACCAAATCCCGGATATGCTTACTTTGGTACTCTTACCCAACATGCTTAAGTTTCTACGCAATTTGATAGGATCGAGATTAAGCCAGAGCTTGAGCGTTCACAGCAAGCGACGAGTAGGAAAGTTATGATGACGCCACTCAAAGCATGTACGGGACAAGCTATGACGCCACTTGACTGCATTGATACTCTCCACCTTCGTCTCTGGGTTTGACTTTTCGATGATTCAATAGTTCAAACGACGAGTGAGGTGAAGCACATTGATGTTCATTGTATTGGACGCTTCTAAGTAAAGAGAAGTAGTTCCACATAATCGCCAATATATTACTTCCTTCCCTTTAGTCATAATGTCAAATTATTTGACCTTGTATAAATGGGCTGGTTCAAAAAGTGCAAAGGTCATTCATAATTGTCCCACCTACAAAAATAATTTGGTTACTACGGAGGTATTGAAACATCATATCTGCTACATGATTGATAGCAGCCTGTTTATCTTACCACCACTAGAACAGGAGGCTTCTGAGATTTTCTCCAATTTAACCTGCGAAACGTTCACCGGAGTTTCTGCGAAAGCATCTTGATTAAACGGTCATATGCGTCCTTTCTCCTCATTGCTTTAGTTCATCTCCTGAAGGTATATCTATTGTGCATTCTAGCTATAACATTGCGGCTACTCTTCACCCCTTTAACACTCGTTGACGCTACATCATTAGGCTCTACCTCAGCTTGATCCCAACTATTGATACATAATTTCCATCCATTCTTTGCCATCTTGCGAATGATGTCTATGCCGCTGGTAGTATGGGAGAGTTCATTACTGTCGAAATGCCATATTAGTCAAATCCAGATGTACCGCAACAACCGTTATTCTGGAAACCTCTGCGAAAACTCATTTATCCAACCGCTGCAATATCACGCTGGATAGCCGCTCAGTAAGTTCGTTCGTTTTGTCAAAAGATCCAATGCATCTGACGATTTACATACTTAGAAAATGCTGCCGCCTTGGAAGACACATTGGATAGTAACGTCTTAAATGATCCATGGTACTTCAAGTCTCCACTCTCGTTCATCGCTTAGGCTCTAATATAATTGAAGGGATACAGCGCATATTGCGTATTTTAACCAGCGGAATTCGCATTTTGCAAACGGTGGACATTCACGGATTTGGTTGCAGAAACCCATGCTAAGAATTGTGTGTCAAATGTTTGAACGGAATTTAGATTAGATTGCTGGATGTACGGTACGTACATGAGGCTTCGTGCTCCTCCTACAGCACCAGTGATCGGTCCAATGGCGCGGGTATACGCGGTTCAATACGCGGTTCGAGCCATCACTCGATCTTCCATTCGACTTAAGATTTCGTCAAAACCTATGGTGGCAGGTCGTGATATTCGTATTGACTTTTCATTTCCAAACTTCTTGAGCAGATACACTGAACGACTACACTTGTCAATGTGCTTTTTATAATGATGCCAGCTTTTAGCTTAATGTGCGAAAGAACCATTCAACATGAAATCGGAGCATCATTCAAGTTCGATGTTGGCAAAGGCACGTTTGCATTCTCGGATAGATGAGCGGATTTGATCTGCACTCGTCGTCGACGCAATAGAACGATCAGCTGTTATCAGGTTACCAAATAAGGCGCTTACAAGTTACGCGCGAGGTGATGTGCGACAACAACAACAGCAGTCGGAAGCTGGTGATGAGCTGATGACTATTGAAGATTATTCAATGGCTGGCGAGTGAACAAGATGTAAAGCCAGAATAAATATCCAGTCCAAAGTCAACGGATTTCACGACATAATAAATCACGACAATGGGTAACTATATCGTATAAACGAGCGTCAATTTCAAAGGA